CCGGATTCCTGCTGGCGAGTGTGGAAACTGGAAAGTAATGTCCCTAGAGGCGCCTCAACACAAACTACTTTTTTTTACAAGTCTCTCCCTTTCCTCTTGTCGATTACTTTCTTTCCTCCCTCTCCTTTCCCCCTTCACATTGCTTCTCCCTCCAGCTTGTGATCATCCCTTTAAGATTTAGAAAATGCCTTCCTGCTTAGTCTGTCAGACCATTCCCACCACCCCATGCTAGACTATGTGTGGGGTCAGTCAGAACTCCTGGGTTCTGTCCTTGGCTCCAGCACTTAGCAACAGTTTCAGTCATGGACTCCCCCAGAGGGACATTAAAGCTGTCACTTGCAGTGCTCTGTGTCATCCATTAACCCTGAGTTCCCCCAGGGTCCTCCACCCGACTCCTGCCCAGGACAGAGACTCCTAAGAGGGATCTTAGAGGTTTGGCTTCTATAAATTCTGCGTCTTGGAGATTGATGACAGAGGGTGGAGTGAAGCAGAGCGAGCCACCCTCTCCCCGCCCCCAGTTACCTTTCAGGAGGAAGCTAAAAGGTCTTGAAAACCTTGTTGGACAATCATCTGAGGAATGGAAGCTGGCCTGGGAGGGGATTGGAACGCACTCAACTATGCTTCAGATCCTTTGTTCCGCTCTTGAAAGGGAAACATTCCCCTCCCTCCTCCCTGGCCACACACACGTGCCTTTGTTCCCCTGAGTCAGGCGGAGCCAGGAACACAGTGTCCCTTCCAAAGAGCCTGACTCCCTCCCCAGAGGCTGGCCCCCTCATCAGCAGGACTGGGCTTTTGCTCAGGAGCCCCCAGCCTCATGTCTTTTCTATAGATTTCTTTCTCTAAGAGGCTGAGAATTTGCCTACCAACAGCTGTCCAGGGACTTCCCTGGAATAATTCCATGGGATGCCCATGTCCTAGTATTAAACAGTTCCTCCCTTTTATTCCAGTTGGTGATTAATATTATTGTTAACATTGCTATTAATAGCAACTAACATTTATTGAGTGCTTACTCTATGCCAAGCATTGTTCAAAGGGCTTTATGTGTATTAATTTATTCCATTCTCACAGCAACACTCTGAAATAGGTACTATTATTATCCCTGTTTTACAAGTGGGGAAACAGATACAGAGAGGTTAAACTAGCTACCCAAGGGACGGGGTAGCGTGCCCCCTCCCTCCAGTGCACCAGTGTCTAGATAATTGTTGACATTTACCCAGTGCTTCCTATGTAACAGGCCTTTCCCAACATCATTTCTATGTTACTATCCAAACAACTTTATCAGTATAGGATATGAGATTTGGGAGGGTTCATAGCTAGCAGAAGGCAGGGTCAGGATCTGAACCCGGGTCTGTCTTATTCCAGAAGTCTGTACTTTTCACCTCGATCTCTAATCCTGCAAACCCCTACAAGGAAGGTGATGTTATCCGCATTTTATGGGTGGAAAACTGAGGCTAAGAGAAAAGTGACATGCCCAGGGCCTCACAGGCTAGTCCTAGGAAGAACCAAGATTCACATTCAAGGGTGTTTGACTTAAAAATAGTGTACTATGTTAGTAGTCTGTAGTATAATGATAATTTCTTTTATAACTTACCAAACTTTTATACACATCGTTTCATAGTGAGGTAGGTGAAATGGATCTGTTCAGTCCCATTTCCAGGAAGGAAACTAAGGCATGGGGCCTTGTCCCACAGGAAATGGTGGAGTCAGACTCAGAACCTATGTTCTGGCATCTAACCTGGTGTTACAGGATGCTACTCCCCGAAGGCTAGATTCAGAGCTGTCCTCAGTTTTGTTTCATTTGCTAAATCAGCAAATACTGATGAATGCTTTGTATGTGCTAGGTGCTAAGGATACTGTGGATAACTGAGATGAATGAGACTGGGTCCCATCCCTCAAAGCCTGAAGTCTGTTTCCATGCCCCTCACCTTAGGTTTTGCTGGTGTCCGCCCTCTGACATCCGAATCAGGCTGTGTGCATAACCTGTCCATCTGCTCAGCTCCCAGACACACCAGGCAAGGTTCATTATAGTTAGTATGTGTTGGTCACCTTCAGCACATCTGTAGACAAAACTGTGGACTCAAATTTGAAATTTAGCTTGACTCCTTGCCAGCAGGATAACACTAGGCAAATCACCTTCAGTATTCTCATCCATAAATCTGAGAGAATAATACCAACCTACCAGAGTAAACAAGACTTAAATTAGAAAGTGAAATGCAAGTGTTTTATTAGTAATAATCACAGATAATGTATTGAGTGCTTGCTCTGTGCCAGGCACTGTGTTTAGGCCCTTGATGACATAATCATCTCATTTGGTCCTCATGATTCTTCTGGTGTGAAGATAGAAAATCCGGGGCTCAGAGAGGCTTTATAATGTGTCCACAGTAACAAAACTTGTAAGAGGTGATCTGAGTCTTAGTACTCGGATGTGTCTGATGCCGAAGCCTACCCTCGAGCCACTGCATCATTGGTACTTAGGAAGCCCAGTCTGGCTTTTTTTACCCCAAGTGCCTGGCACAAGGCCCAGGGTTGGGCAAGGGCTTGGCCAGGGTCTGCTCAGTGATCATGAGGGGTTATTATTATTAGGTGCAGGTCAGCAGGCCAGGCTTCCAAAAATATGCCTCTGCCCTTAAGGAGGCAAACTCATCTGAAGCAGTAGGACTAGACCCAAAACACTTGGTGAATGACTGAAGGCAAATTGCCAAATCTGTGGTGTAGACTCCAGACATGAAAGAGGTCAGACCCAGTGGCTGCATCCCACAGGTGTCCTGGGTCTTGGCCAAATCAGCCCATCTCCACCATTAACTACCCAGTTAACTACTGACCAACTTCATCACCAATCCAGATCCTCTTCTGCACCAACAGTGGAAGGGGTCAGGGAGGGGAAGGGCCACTAGGGGCTGGAATAATCATAGTTTTCCCACCAGTATGGCTTTGTACAATTCATACTGAGGCCTCAGTTTTTGTCTCTTCTTTATAGGCTTGCTATTTTCTCTGCCTGGATCAATTCACACTGAGGCCTCAGTTTCCCTCTCTTCTTCGTAGGCTTGCTGTTTTCTTTGCCTGGATCACTCTTCCCCTGAATTTGATCCCAGGGCTGTCTACTTATCATTCAGGACTCAATTCAAATGTTACCTCCCCAGAGACCACCCATGTTTACATAAAGTGTAAGTTTCCAGAGTGTAGGGGCATTTTCTCATTTTTTCCTTCCTCCCTAACATCTAGCAGAGTGCTTGGCACATAGCAGACACTCAGCAAATACCTGTTGAATGAATGAATGAGTGACTGTGTATACTACCTAGCACAGTGCCTGCCATACAGAATGCTCAGTCAGTGTTAGGCATTTTTATTGACTATGAGGAACATGTAAACCATGAAGTCTTTAAATAGGTGAAAAGAAGGGGCAGGCTAGGTGGGTAAGAACTACCCAGACAGATCTGGAGAGTGGAATGTTGATGAAGCATTTGGGAGACAGTGAGAAGGTAGACTGGCTAGAGCAAAGAGTGTCTGGTTGGTCAGGGAAAGGGAGTGGGTAACCAGTGGTGGAGATCTCTGAGCAGAGGGATGGGGGTGGCTGGTGATGGGGGTGGGCCCGTTGGGCAGAGGCCCAGAGCACCCGTGGGAGGCAGCCAGGTCTCCAGGAACCCCTGGGGAAGAAAATCCTTTGCCATCTGGGACTCAGCAGGCAGAGACAGAGGGAGATAAAAGCCAGTGGCACCTGCAGATCAGGTAGGCTGTCCTGGTTGTTATTTCGGGATTCGGGGCCAGGTGCAGATTCAAAGGCTTGATTGAAGACTTTTGGCAACTCTGGCCTCAGCAGAGTAAACATCACCTGTCTCCTGCCACCTGCGGCGACAATGCCAGGAAGGTACCCTGGGAAGGCCCGAAGGGGCCAAGATTTCTTGCTGCCCTGGTGGAGTAAGAAATCCCTTCTCAAGAAAGACCACTCCTTCCCTGCCTTCAGCTACCTCTCTGAAGGGCTCAGGTGGCAACAAGGTGCCTCTTGCCCAAGAGGCCCCCTGGTTCTGGCCCATGGAAGGCAGGGTGGGGCAGTGGGAGCCGTTGACAGCTGGGCCCAGATCGGGGGAGGAGTTAGTCTGGGAGCAGGTGCAGATTTCGGGGAGGGTGGGGCCTGAAGTGAAGTAGGGATCCTGGGAGGCTGCAAAATTTCCTTCCCCACCCCCACCTCCCCAGCCACAGCTGGCTTCTCCAGGAACCTGATGACCTAGTTACAATGCTTAGAAATTGTTAGCTTTGCAGGTTGGGGCTATGCCAGTCTCTCTTCTCTGAGGCTTCTTGTGTCCAAAACGGACCCTGGCATTCCCCTGAGGGGGGTTCCATGTGAAGGATGAGCACCGTATCACATGTACAGGCTTCTTGCCCAAGGGAGGAAAGAACCAATCAGGCTTCTTCCCTTCCACCCTGGTGTGCCCCTTCCGTGGTTTCTGTCTCTCTCTAGGGGATGAGGGGTGGCAAATTGAGGTCACAGACTTCTTCCCTTGAGGTTCAGCATAGAGAGGGAGGAGTTTTGGGCAACTCTTGTTGCCCAAGGGAGGGCTTGAGCATACCTCCATCTCCTTACCTCCCCATCTCGGTGCATTGTTAAGACCTGATGGAATGGAGTGCAGAAAAATCTGTTGGGGGCTCTGGAGGCCCCAGCTTTCCAGGGCAGCAGCTGCTTCTAGTATTCCTGGTGTCTGCCTCTCCAGTGCCTTCCTGGAAGAAATTCCATCACTTTTAAAAGTCAAGTACAAAATTTGACAAACCAATGCTGAGTCCGTCTTGCTCAATAGTTATCCTTGGGCAAATTTCTTAATCTTTTCCAGCCTTAGTTTCCTCATCTATAAAAAGGGGATAATAATATATATAGTGCCTTTCTTGAAAGCCTCTTGTGAGCATGAAAATAATAAGATACATAGAGTACTTAGCATGGAGCCTGGCATATAGTAATTACTCAGCATGGAGCTACCTTTATTATAGTTATTATCAAATTGCATTCACAGGTGATCAAGTTACAGTGGTCTCCATGGGACCTGCTCTCCAAGAGCAAGCTTTTAGGCTGACAGACTTTGTGGATGTCCTTTGGACCAAGGGCTTGGAGATTTTGAGATTTCTGAAGATGGGAACCTTGGCTCACAACCTGTCCCCCGCTTCCTCTACAAGAGCCCCAAATCATACCTTGCACAAGTTGGAGTTTGGCCAGTGTTACTCACTAGGTATTGGGCAATGAACAGATTTTCTTCAGTCTTTTCCAAGTGCCTTCAAGAAGCCAGGTACCTCCTTGTCTGCCTTATTCATCGCTGTATCCCTAGATCCTGCCACAGAACTTGGCACATAGAAGATACTCAATAATTATTTGTTGACTTAATGGAAAACTTAATGAGTCGAATACTTCAAGTGCTTAGGAGCATGCCTAGCACATAGTAGGTACTTGATACATGTTTGAACTATCAAATGAGGTGTTGTGGGAGCTTTGCAGTTTTTCCAGGATGACCCCACTCCTTGTTTGGTGTGTGGCCATAAGCCTCTCTTCCAAGCTCTGCCTGTTGCCTCATCTGTTGAAGAGAGATAACACATGCCTTGCCTCTCTCATGGGCTTGCAGGGAAGCCCAAGGAGATGATAGATGAAAAAGCACTTTGAGGACTATAAATGCTTGTTCTTGTTGCTGTTTCTTGACTGAGGTCACAGTCATAGCTGTGCCATTCATTTGTTCATGCATTCATTCATTCAACCAACAAGCATTTTTTGAGTGGAAACAGTATTCTAGCTCTATTGCTCATCTAGCTTCATTGAACAAGTTACTTTACTTCTCTGAGCCTGTATATCTATAAAATGGAAATAATACTCATTTCACAAGGTTGTTAGGAGAAAGACTAAGCAAGGTGCTCTGAGCTGATTGAGGCTAGAAGCTGTGTATTATTCACTATTATCAATTACCAGTGGACCTGGTACTTGGTGGCAGAGTCTTTAGGGACCGAGTTATCGAATGGATAAATGGTGTATGGAAAGTGCCTGTGCATAGTGCCTAGTGCAGAGTAAGAGCTCACCAAATGGTGGATCTTTGCCTTTCCTCTCATCGTGAGGTTAGGTCGTTCATTGATTCAGTCATTGGGTGCCATCTGTAGTCAAATTACTAGGTAAGGGCAGACCTCTGAATATGACTCAGATGGGAAGTAGAAATGAGTATTAACTCCTACCCTAGGATATCTGCTCCTGCCTTGTTGGGCTGCTGAGTGGGAGCTCGGATCCAGCCAGATCAGTGCTGCTTAAACATAAAGCCTAGTGTATAGCAGACCTCACCCCATGCTCACCTCTGATTCAGAACAAGAAACCGGCCCCTTGTTCTACTCTCTGTCTGCTACCTAGTGAGAAGAATTTCCCTTTGCTCACAGCACCCACATTCAGATGGAACCCTAGGGGTTACCAAGTCAGAAAAGTCCCCAGACACTCACTCAGAAATGGGCCTTTGGGGCAGGGTCCAGGGAGGGGGCTCAAGTTTGAGGCTGAGGTCTCTTGGGACCAGTGCAAGCCGCAGGTGCAGGCATGAGGCCCTGGTCTGGTGGCTGAGTGCTGAAACTGAGAGATGTGTGGGGCCAGACAAAGAGTCAACCCAGAGGACACTGCCTGCCTGCCCATGCAGGTGTCTGGGCACCTGGGGGGAATTTCTGGGTCTGATTTAGTGGTGGAAGTTGAGGTTCCAAATTAGTACCCCAAGCCACAATGAGGGCAATTCATGGAACTCCAGAGCAAAGCATGCAGTTGGCACCCAGGCCCCAAACCGAGGCCAGCACCTTTGAACCCTCCTCATATTCCTTCAGGGTAAAAGAGGGGCCCCTCTTCTGGCCTCCCCAGCACCTTTATGGGGCCCCTGCTATGTACTGGGAGCGCTTTACCAAAATTGGATCATTTTGCTCTCAGAAGTGTAAGCTCTGGAGTTGGACAGAGCTGAGTTTGAATCCGGGCTCCATCACATACCACCTGTTTGATCTTTTTCACATAATTCCTCCTTTCTGAGCCTCAGTTCCCTGACTGAAAAATGGGGGTAACACCCACCTCATAGGGTTTTTGTAAGGATTAAATGTGGTCATACATGTGAAGCTTGGCACAGATGTCATAGTAATGTTAGTTAATAACAGCTAACATTTATTGAGCATTTACGTTTAAGTGTTACAGAGGAGAAAAACAGATAAGTTAAGAACATTGTCCAGAAGTTCACAGCAAGTAAGTAGTGAAGCCTCAATTTGAACCCAGGCATTGTGGCTCCACAGCCCACACGTCCTACCTCTTATAAGGATAAGGCAAGTTAATGTTGTTGCTGTTAGTATTGAATCCAGCATTATAGCTGCCTGTGGTTTTTGGTGTATCTTCTGAATTCTGAGCACAGTGAAGGCCAGAAACCCATCTTAATCACCTTGCATCCCCAAAGACCAACATAGTACTCATAGTACTCATTAATATTTGCTTAATGGCTGAGAATATTCCCTCTCTTCATTAATCAAACAGTAGCTCTTTATCGACCATTTCCTGTAGGCTAGGCTTGAGTTAAATCCTGAGAGTAATGCAAAGTACAGCTATGCTTCTGTAAAGGGAAGATTGGGTGTGTGTGTATGTGAGGGGTTGCATTCCAGAGCATTGTATCATTGGCAGAAACTTCCACAGAGGAGGCAGAAACAATACAGGTGGCCTGGGGATGCTTTCCAAGCCAGGATTCCCACCCCTCCCCAAATGGGCCACTCCCTCTATCTCCTGAAGAACAAGGTGACACAGATTTCCTGTTCCTGCCTGGGGCATGAACCACTCCCATCGGTTCCTCTCTAGGGAGGAGGGTGCATCTTTCTTGCACAGGTAACCAGTTTATGGGTGCCTAGAATGATAGAAAAAACTCAGAAATTTAGAGCTGGGAGGGGACCATAGAAAATCACTCCTACCAGAGTGGTCCTTTAAAACCGAGTTCTGATCTTAACCGTGTTCTTGCTTACAACCCTCCAGTGGACCTCCACTGCACTTGGAATAAAACCCAGAGTCCTCACCGAGGCCTCTGAGGCCTGCGTGATCTGGTCACTGGCTGCCTGTCCACCCCTCATCACTGCACTCAAGCCACACAGGATCCTTGCTGTTCCTGTATCATGGCACATTTGTCCCTGATGTTTGCCTTGCTGGCTCTCCTTCAGTGGCTCCATTCGAATGCTACCACCTCTGAGACATTTTCCTTCACCTTCGGTCTAAAGTAGCCTTCTCCCCAGCCACTCTCTAGTCTTTTGCCTTCGTGTGTTTCCTTCTGACCTCTCACTGACCTCTAGCTGAAATTTTCTTTTTGTCTGCTTACTCTTTTTTTTTTTTTCCCCATCTCTTCTACTAGAATTTAAGTCCCGTGAGTATAGAAATTAAGCCCCATGGTTTATTCCCTCATTGTAGTTCCAGTAGTAAACATTCAGTGAGTAATTTTGGAATGAATGATTCCACAAATGAACAAGCCTAAAACAGTCTTTTCATTTTATGCGTGAGAAGACTGAGGCCCAGAGAAGAGAAGCTAATGAGGATTGAGAGTTTTCTTTCAACCTACCTTTTGAGTACTTGCTAAGTGCCAGGCACTATACTCAGTGATTTACATGCATTATTTTTGCCATTTGCCCTTATTTACCCTAATTGTTATAATGAGTTGTTTGAAACATCATTTTTCATACACCAGTGTAGTATTTAAAAGAAAATTGGACTATTATTTTTTATTGGAGCCTTGCTCTACTTTACAAAGAGTTGGAGGCAACTTAGGAAAAGTCATACAACCTAAAGGATAAAGGAGGGTACCAAGTGAAAGGAAACTATGGGTAAGAAAACAAGAGCCAGGACTAAAATTAGTTTACACAATCGTATGCCACAGAGCAGTTTTCCTACCATCTTTAGGATTGGTAACTAAAATTATGCCCAGATTCTTGAAAATAATTTTTTTTTAATATCTAATCACACACACATACACATAACCTTGGGATTGCCCCAGACTGCATGTGGAAGTCAAGGATTTGCTAGCTCCCTCCTTGCCTCATCAGCCGGGCTCCTGGATTAAGGCAGCATGATGTCCTCTTCTTCCCCACTCACCAGAGGGGCCAGTCCAGCAGGAGGATCCTGGATGTCTCCACAGCCTTCTCTGGACCCAGCTAACTTTGTTTCAAGAAATCTTGTTCCAGAAGGTTTATTAATTGAAATACCACCACTGAAGACCCAGTTCTGCTCTCAAGGCACTTCCATTTGATTTAGAGAGAGAACACATAACGCATGTGAAAAGAGGTCTTGTGAAAACCAACAATAAATGCTAAATGCCAAGTAAGTGAGGGACTTTGCAGAAGGGGTGAGATTTGAGCTGGGACTTAACACAGAGCAGAGAAAAAAGGGGCTGGTGCTCCCAGCAGGGCGGTCCATGTGAGTTAAGATGTATGTGCAGGCTGGGAAGGGCTCTCAAGAAGAGACCCATGAGCAGTGGGCAGTCCAGTTTGAGGTGTGTGTGGAGGGGTCTCTATTATTAGGTGATGAAGCCGGGAAGGTCAGCTGGAGCCATGTTTACGGGAGCCTTGAGTGCCAGGAAAGGATTCCAAGGCCCTCCTCAGCGGCGCTGGTATCCTAACAGATGACGTTGCCAGGCATGGATGCCCATCCTGGCTGCCTACCGGTCCACTGATTCCTGGGTGACAGTGCTAACATCCAAAATGGGATCGAGTGCCTTGAACCAACAGTAGGCACAGGGGTAAGTGTGGGGCCTTTGCTAGTTTAGCCTTTGACCATCCCAGGTACATTCATTCATTTGGTGATTTAACAGATGTATACTGAGCAAGCACCAACTACATGCCAGGCCCTGTGCTAAGTGCTGGGGGTGCTGTGGTGAACAAGATAGTCAAAGACCCCACTCTCACAGAGATCTATTTTATTAGGGGAGACAGCCTGAGAAACAAATAAGATGATTTCAAATAGAAGGTTAAATGCTGTAAAGAAAATAAAACTGAGTTATGGAGTTATCTAGGAAGAAACTTTATACAGGGTGGTCAGGGAAGCCCTCTCTGAAGAGGTGACATTTGAGCTGAGAGTAGATTGAGGAGAAAGAGCCAGCCTGGGAAGATGTGAAGCAAAGATTTTGCAGGTAGAGAACAAGGCAGGATTGAACTTGGCTCATCCAAGCCTTAGGCTCATTCGGGTGCTCAGCTTTGACACTAATGGGCCCCATCTGTGCCTTTGTTTCCCTTTGTGTTGTGGATGAAGGTGATCTTTCCCATCTCTTCCACAGAGACCCAAAGGGAATAATGTCGACTTCGATTTAGTAAGCACCTACCTCATGCGAGGCACTCTACAAGCATTTTCTAATTTAAGTCTCCCACCCAGCCAGTGCAGTAAGTGGTCTGTTGGCCCCACTTTCTATTCTAGTGAGGAAACTGAGATGAAGTTGCATGCCTGGGTCCTGTAGCTTGTACACCGTGGAACCTAGATTCAGACCCAAATCAGTCTAGCTCCAAAGCCAGAACTCTTTCCACTGCTCCACTCTCGAAATAAATGAAGCATTGTTGATTCAGGACATGGAGAAAGCTGTTTAGCAAAAGGAGAGTTGGGGAAAGCATCGTGGAATGAGGATCTTGAAGGACACTTACTGTCCTCCCAATTGAGAGGTCCCTTCTGTTCATCTGCAGGAGGATGCCCCCAGAGCCTGGGGTTACTGTAGGCCTTTGCCAGAGGCATGTTCAGACTTAGCCAGCTGAGTATCTCCCCGTTTCCTGCTTTTGCCATCTCAGCTGCTGGTCAGGAGGTTTGGGAAGGTGACATCATCTAGCTGAATCAGCTGCTGCTTCTAGACACATTAACGGGAACTGAAAGTCATTGCCCCTTCCTTCCCACTCTGCAGATCTCTTCAGACCGAGGCTTGGGTACAGTGTTCCACCTGTCTGCGATGGTCATGTCTGGAATAGTGCCCCTGCTTTTAAAGAACTATAAGGTACATATTCTTGGAGAAAGCTGTCCTCAAGGCTTCTCAAGCTAAGAGAACAGAGTGCCCTTGAGGGATAGGAGGATTCACAGAAGGGTCCCCATCCCTCTCCTCTACCTTCATTTAGCAGGAACTCCTGACCCTTCTGATCTCCTTTGCCTAAGTCCAAGGCGCAGGCCCAGCACTCTATGACAGGCAAACAAAATGCTGTTTGTGGACTTTAAACTTAAGGCATTTAGAGTCTGGTCAAGGGGACAAAAAGCTTACATTTCAGAACAGAGTAGCCACGGCACCCTGATCTTTTGGAGATCTGGCCTTGACCCACTGGCCAAAAAGGAAAAAAATAAGTGAGATGCATATAAAGAGAAACTAATAAAAAGACGGGTCAGTGCCAAGCAAATACAACAGCAGACAACTTATTTGCTCTATGACTTTGCCTGTCTCAGCTTCACTATCTAATGGGTGTGTAAAAATTCACTGTGTAAAATGGGTGTCAAAGGGCGTGTGGCTCTTTGAGTCATTGAAGTATTACATGACATAACATATGTAAAGCACTCAGCAGTGCACCCGGTGAGTGCTCAATAGATGGTAGCTATGTACATAGATTCTCCAAAGGGAGGCAGGCCACTGGGCAAGGGTGGTTGAGGAAGGCTTCCTGGAAAAAGCAGGCTTGGAACTGGACCTTGGAGCCTGGATAAGCTGTGGATGAATGCAGGCTGGAAATAGCCTACTCGAGTGGCAAGAAGACAGCCTTTGGATGCTGTGTTATCTTTGACAGGTGACTTTACTCGCAGAGCCTCAGTTTCCTTACCTATAAAATGGGAATACTGCTAGAACCTACCTTACAGGAATGTTGGGAGGATGAATAAGGTACCATTTTGATAAATGGAATCCACTGAGTAGCGTGCTCAGTGTGTACTATTGCTGTTTCTTACATTGGTAGGGGAACTAACCTGGGCAAAGGCTGGAAAGCCATCGCTCATTCCATCTCTCTCATGTGCCATCATCTCTCACCTGAACAACTATGCCAGCCGCCTCCCTGGTCTCCCTGCTTCTGCCCTTGCCCCCCTCTAATCTATTACCACATAACAACCAGTGGTCCTCCTAAAATGTAGGTCAGATCCTGTCATTCCTCTGTTCAAAACCCTCCAATAACTTGTCATTCACGAGAATAAAAGCCAGAGTGTACACAGTGCGGGAACAGATGACTGGGAGACCTTGTTGGGGCAGCAGTGGGAAGGGCAGTCAACCTAGAAGTAAGTTCCCTGAAGTCCACTGGACCTGGCCTCCAACTGCCCAGGCTCATTCGTCTCAGAAGCAGCCCTGCTCCAGCTCCTGTGTCTCTGTGTGTGTGCATTTGTGCACGTGCAGGTGGATGACACAGTGGTGATGCTGTGAGCCTAGAACATTTCATAATAGGGAAGGACATTGACCACTGCCTTGGGGCTACCAAAGGTCATTAGGGCTGAGAAAGCCCAGGGCACTCAGGGAGGCCTTTGTCCTCTCTGAATCTGAATCATTTCCTGAGGGGAGGTGTTCATTCATTCATTTATTCATTAACAAATATTATTGAGTGCCTGCCATATGCAAGGCAGTGAGCTAGAGGTTGGGCATATACTGTGAGCAAAGAAAAGTCATAGTTCTCATTAAGTGGACATTGCAGTGGGGGAGACAGATCCTAAATAAATTTGCATGTCAGGTGGTCTTTAGTAAACCCAGAAAAACTCACTGCCATCGAGTCGATTCCAACCCGTAGCAACCCTGTAAGGACAGAGTAGAACTGCCCATAGGGTTTCCATGGCTCTAAATCTTTACAGAAGCAGACTGCCACATCTTTGTCCTGCAGAGTAGCTGGTGCGTTTGAACCACCGATCTTTCAGTTGGCAGCTAAGCGCTTTAACTACTGCTTTAACCAGTGTGGAGCGATCTTCAGTACTACAGGAAAAATAAAGTAGGATAAGGAGAATAGGGATGGGAAAAGGTTGCTCTTTTAGCTGGGGTAGTCAGGAAGCCTCTCTGATAAGGTGACATTGGATCTGATTGGAGTGAGTACATGATCCATTCAGATATTTGGAGGAAGAGTGTTGCAGACAGAGGAAACAGCAAGTACAAAAGCAAGTGCAGAAAGAGTCCCTGGCATGTTTAAAGTACAGCAAGGAGTCCAGTGTGGCTGGAGTTAGGTCAGACAGGTAGCCAGGAGCCAGGTCATGTGGGTGTACAGGCCATTGCAAAGGACCTGGCTTTTACTCTGAGGGTAGTGGAAAAGCATTGGAGGAACCAAGAAGTGGTAGGATCCAACTTAGACTCTGGATCTAAGAGAGATCTCTGTGATCACTGTGTGGAGGATAAACTGTAGGGGCAAGGGTAGGACCTAGAGACCAGTGAGAAGGCTTGGCAGGTGATGATTTTGGTTTATATGAGGGTGAAGATGAGGCAGATGTGGTGAGCAGTGGTCAGAACTTCAATATAATTTGAAGGGTGTGCCAACTAGATTTGCTGATGATTGGATAAGGGGTGAGATAGAGAGGGAGTAGTGCAGGCTTTTGGCCTGAGTGACTGGAAGGACTTTGCTGCCATTTAATGAGAAGGGAAGACTGCCATGACCAGAAGTGGTTTCCTGAGGGCTGTGGAGTCAGGCTGTCTGTGTTCGAGTCCCAGGTTGCTTGCTGTTTGACTTTGGGTACATATTTAACTTTACCAAGTCTCAGTTTCCTCAAATGTAAGCGTTGCCTAGGCCCTAGGCAGTTGGGTGTTGTGAAAACTACATGGGGTAATTTGCGTCAAGAGCACAGGACAGTGCTTGGCACATAGTAAGCCCTCAGTGTTTGCGCTGATCATCACCATTGTTGTTGTCATTGGAAAGCAGGGAATCCGTGGCCTCCAGAAAGCAAGCAGCAGATCCTACCCCACTTCCACCACCCCTCAAGGAGCCCACCCTCCAAGAGGCAGCTCAGACACCATCTGTCCAGCAGAGAAAAGCCACAAGGAGACAGCTTTCGGGGGGCGTTAGATAGATGAGCCCTTCCCAAGAAACCTAATCTCGTTCTCAGCAGGTGTTAATCCCACCAGCCTCCCTTGGTATTGGAGCCCAGCCCACCCACTTCCTTCCCTACCCCCACCCTTAGTCCCAGACACTTCCCCCTGCTTACCAGCTCCAAGCTGCCACCAGCACACTTCCTTACCAGATGGAGGGTCTGTAACAGGAGGAGGTCCATCATCCATCTGACTGGGCCCAGACCCTCGCATGTATCAGGTCACCAAGGACTGCAGGTGCCACCTGTCCAGAGGTCCCCCCCTACACACAGGTGCCAGTTCCTGGGCGTGGTGCTTGATCCAGGCAGGATTCAGGCTAGAGCCAGCTGGAGCCAGCAGCTCCCACTGTGCCCCAGCTGCTGCCTGCCCTCCCACCCACCCCCCGGCAGAGAAACAGGCTTAACCCTTTGGGCACTGCGTACGTAGCCAGAGTTAGTGGTTGCAGTTCAAGAAATCTGTCAGAAATACAACAAAGAATGTCTAATGCATATATGTAGTTTTAAGAATAGGAAAATGATCACTTGTGAACTCATCACCCAGTTTACGAATTCAAACATTTATGAGTATTTTAGAAGCCCCCTGTGTGCCCCTCCCCATCACAGCTACCCTCTACCCATTCTCCTGAGTTTTGTGTTTATCATTCCTTTGCTTTTTTTTTAAATAGTTTTACTACATATAGTGTGTATGTGTCTCTAAACAATATAGAATATTCTTCATTTAAACATGCTTTTAAACTTCATTTAAATATCATACTGTGCATATTCATCTGCAGCTTGCTCTTTTCAGTCAGCATTGTGACATTCATCCACATTGTGTGTATAACTGTGGCTCATTCATTTTCATGTCCCTTTGTATGATTATGTCTCAAGTTATGTATCCATTCTACTGTCAGTGGTTATTTGGGTTGTTCCCTTGTTTTTGCTATTTCAAACAGTGCAATTATGAACATTCTGTGTGTGTCTCCTGTGCATCCACCTTTCATGAGTTTCTCTAGGGCAATGGTTCCCAAACTTTATGGGCCCATCAGAGTCTCCTGCAGGGCTTGTTAAAACACTGGTAATGCTGGACTCCACCCCAGAGTGGCTGAATTCAGTAGGTCTGGGGTGGGACCCTGAGAATTTGCGTTTTTAACAAGATCCCTGTCATGCTGCTGCTGCTGGTCCTGAGACCACCCTTGGATATCGTTGCTGTAGGGTATATACCCTGGAGTAGAATTGCTTGATCAAGCTAGAGTCCCCGGGTGGTACAAAAGGTTAACACTCTTGGCTGCTAACCTAAAGGTTGGAGGTGTGAGTCCACCCAGAGGCTCCTCGGAAGAAAGGCCTGGTGGTCTACTGAAAAATCAGCCATTGAAAACCCTTATGGAGCACAGTTCTATTCTGACATACACGGTGTCACCATGAGTTGGAATCAACTCCAAAGCAACTGGTTTTTGGTTTTCCTATGTGTTTGTATGAATTTACACTGGCACTAGCAGTACTTGAGTTTCCATTGCTTTACATCTTTGCTAATGCTCAGTATGGTCAGGGTTTTAAATTTTTATGGAGCTGGTGAGTGTGAGATGATATCTTGTGGTTTTAATTTGCATTTCTCAGATTACCATTGGGGTTGAGAAGCTTTTCTTACATCTATTGGCCATTCATGTTTCCTCTTTTGTGAAATACCTGTTAAGGTCTTTTGCTCCTTTTTCTTTTGATTTGGCTTTTTCTTATGGATTTGTAGGATTTTTTAAATATATATTCTAAATACTGACCTTTTGTCTCATGTGTTACAAATATAATCTCTCAGTTTGTAGTTTGCTTTTTCACTTTCTTCATATGATTTATGTAGTTGAGCTTATTGGTCTTTTCTCTTATGATTTATACCCTTTGTCTTGAAGAAATCCTTATCCTGTGGTCCTAAAGACATTTGTCTGTATTTTTTTCTAAAAATTTTAAAGTTTTGCCTTTCACATTTAAGTCCTTAATAGATCTGGAATTGACTCTCATGTCATCTTAGTATTTTTCTTTGTGGAATACTTCTATTTCAGTAGGTTCTACAAGTCTGCAAATTTGAATTATTTATGACTTGACTTGTACCTAGAGCTTATTATATACGCTGCATTAATATTTCATATTGAACAAAGGTGCCCTCTTTAGGAAAGAGCTTTGATCAAATTCTTTATGTATTTAAAACTTGGAACAAGATTTTTGTTGGATTTTTTTTGTTTTAGGGCAGGGCACAATAATGGCATTGTGGTTGTGGGTCGCCCCCCCTTTAAGATTCCTTATTTTTACAAATGCATACTGAAATATGGCTGGGATTTGCTTCAGAATTATACAGGGCTGAGAGTGGTTGGAGAACAGATGAAATCAGGCTAGCACCAAATTGATAATTATTGAAGCTGAGTAATAGGTACGTGGTAGTTTACTTTGCCATTCTGTCTACTTTTGTATATGTTTAAATATTCTCATAAGAAAAAATTATAAATATCCAAGGATTATTTCCAAGGTTACTTGTGAGGTAGAACGTCTTATGTTTTATTAGCCATTTGTATTTCTTCCAGAGCCAGTTTGGTCTCCATCTACTTCAGGAGTCCCTGATAGAGTAGTCTTAGCATATAGGGAGATTAATCGTTAAGGAAACCAGGAAAGAAGGTGGCAGGGGAATTAGGAGATGAAAGCAGGGTTGGGGGTGGGGGGGGCGGTCTTAGTTGCAGGCACTTTACCTAAAGCCTGACTTCCCACTCCCACCATGACTAGGTTCCTTCCCCTCCCTTTTTTCTTCCAGGGCCATCTGGAGATAATTTTTATTTTAACCTGAACCTTCTTTCCCTATTATTCTACCTTGACAGGCTTAACCTAGTGGATAGATGAACCTCATCATGTATCCTGGCCCTCTCTCAGCTTAACGACGTACAGGGACAAAGAGTCAGAGGTGGTGGCAACCATAGTGCAGTTGGTCACACAGTAGTGGTGTTATTTTGGTGTCACAGGATGCAAATACCCAAATACCAAGGTTGTCATTTTTCTCTGATATTGTAATAACTGGCCAAAGAGTCTCTCTGAGGAGTCCCACCACTTCTCATGGGACAGTCTCTCTCTCCTCTTTCTCATATGTCCTCCCTTCCCCCATCCTTTTAAATTTTTTATTTATTTTCTTGGAATAGATAATATATTCATGTGGTTCAAAATTCAAAAGGAACAAATGTCTCCTTCCCACCCCTGCTTCCCAGCCACCCAGTTCCATTCCTGGGATAATAGACTGTGGATGCAAGCAAACACCTGTCTGTTTCCCTCTTTTTAACACAAATGGTCATGTGCTATACAAAATTTGGTACCTTGCTTTTCTTTCTTAACAATGTCTCTTGGAGATCATTCCATATCAGTCCATACAGAGCTTTCTCTTTCTTTTTAATAAAAAAAAAAAAAACTTGTTTCTGTCAAGTTGATTCCCACTCATAGCGACCATATAGGACAGAGTAGAACTGTCCCATAGAGTTTCCAAGGAGCAGCTGGTAGATTCAAACTGCTGACCTTTTGGTTGGCAGCCGAGCTCTTAACCACTGCGTAATATTCTATACAGTAGACTGTCCTGTAGTTTATTTAACCAGTTTCCTTTGGTAGACACTCCGTTTTTTTCCAGTCGTTTGTCGTTGTAATAGTGGTACTCAGTGTATGAGCTCTGGTGGCGCAGTGGTGAAGAGCTCTGCTGCTAACCAAAAGGTCAGCAGTTCGGATCCACCGGCCACTCTTGGAAACCCTGTGGGGAAGTTCTTCTCTGGCCTGTAGGGTCACTATGAGTCGGAATCAACTCAATGGCAACGGGTTACTCAATGAATAGCCTTGTATGTTTGTCATTTGGCACATGTGCGAATACAGTATTTCTGTAGGGGATAAATCCTTAGAAGTGAAATTGCTGGGCCAAAGGTTGTGTACCTTTATGGTTTTAATAGGTATTGCCAGATCTATGGTGGTACTAGTTTACAGGAGTATCTTTTTCTCTGTGCACCCCTTCCACTAGTGTTCAGCACCTTTATTGAGTGCCTTCTAGTCCAGGCCCTGGATACAAAGATAACACTTTCATGTATCAAGTGAAATTGTTACTGTGTGCCAAACACAGGCACATTAGCTGACATTCCTCGTACTTACCCAGCAAGGAAGGTTTTCAGATGAGAAAACTAAAACTCAGAAAGGTTAAATAGTGTGGCATGGTAACTGGCCAGCTAGTAAGGGGCAGAGCTGGGATTTAAACCCAGGTTTGAATCCTTCAACACCTGTGCTCCTAAAGAGCACCCTTGACGGCCTCTCAGGAGGAAATCATAGATGGTCTTAGAGTCTAATGCAGACGAGGAATTGGGCCCAGAGAGAGTGACTGGCCATGAAAACACACAGCCAGGAAGCTGTGGCGTCCCAGTGGGAACCCATACATGTCCAATCTGAGGTCTATGGTCTGTAAAGTAAATTAGTTTCCAAATCTAATTGGGGTTCCGTTGAGAGAACTTAGTCCACCCAGCGCTCCAGTTGCAATACATAGATAGATAAGTAGGTAGGTAGGTAGAGTCTTAGTTATCTAGTGCTGCTATAAAAGAAATATCGCAAGTCTGTGGCCTTAACAAACAGAAATTTATTTTCTCACAGTTATGAGGCTAGAAGTCCAAATTCTAGGGGAAGGCTTTCTCTGTCGGCTCTGGAGGAAAGTCCCTGTCTCTTTTAGCTTCTGCTCCTAGGCAGTCTTCATGTGGCTTGACAGGTCTCTTCCTGGTCTCTGCTTCTCTTGCTTGTTTAATCTCTTTTATATCTCAAAAGAGATTGATGCAACTCACATCTACACTGATCTTGCCTTACTAACATAACAAAGACAACCCAGTCCCAAATGGCATAGAAGTTAGGATTTACAACACATATTTTGGGAGGACATAATTCAGTCCATAACAGCCATCAAGGGACAGGAG